CTCCGTGCCCTGCGGTAGTAAAGGCCCTTGACCGTCCGCGGCTCCGGGGGGCCGGGCAGGAGCTGGCTCAGGGGGCTGCAGGAGCCGAAGCGGAGGTGCCCGGGCTGCAGGCCCCGGTATTTTGAAGGTGCGGGCATCCTGGAGGCATCCAGACCAGCAGCTGGGGGTTCACCTGTCTGACATGAGGGCAAAGCAAGGGGGCGAGGAGTAATCAGTTTCGGGCGGAGTCCTTGCGCGCATCTCGCGTTCACCGAGGTTTCACGGACACATTTATTAAGCAGCTATTATGTGCCTGAGGCAGTGAGCAATCCCGACCTGAGGGACGGAGCTGATAGAAGAATCTGCCTAGGATGGGTGATAGCACTCAGTCGGGCCTGTGGCTTCACCGCTCTGATCCGAATCTCCTTCACTCCAAGGACAAGACTCTCGCCCTTCTGCCAGGGACGTCGGGTGAAGCAGCTCTCAAGTTCCCCGGGAGGCCACAGTCCCAGCCTGCCGGGCCCTCTGCTTGCTCTGTGTGCCTGAGGTGGTGTGGTGGCCACAATCGGGGCTCAGGGAAGGTCACAGGCGGCCGCTTCCAGACACTTCTGACGTGCCGGTGTCCCCTAATGAATGGGCACCCCCAAGGTGTGGACAGGAGCACCACCACCTCACAGACGAGGAAATTGAGGCCCAGCGGGGTCAGTCAGCACCTGCCACTGAGGGCTCCAGGAGACTGGCTGTGCTGACTATACCCAGCGTCTCGCCCAGGAGGCGCTCCGCCAGACCACTTTGCCTCTTGATTGCTTTTTCAGGAACCTCGCTAGGGTTGGAGGTGCCAGTGTGCCTCCACACTCACTGCACGCTGGCCTCAGCCACCCTTGCTGTGTGACCTTGAGTTAGTTACTCTCCTTCTCTGGGCCTTGGCCTTGTATCTGCAAAATGAAGGCGTTTCCAATGCTCTATCCGTGTCAGGCCTATTTGGGGCACTTGCCTGCAGATTTAGCTCATTCACATTTTCTTTAAAAATCGTCTCCACTACGTTTCTCCCCTCAGCATTCTGCAGTTGTTTCTTACCCTATTCATTGCAGCCGGAGCTGTCTCCCGAGCTGCTCTACCCTTACAATTCCAGATGCACTCGGATCAGGAGGGAACCTTGGCAGCTGAATGGAAATAAAAGTTCCTCTCATTTTCAGAGCCGGCTGGATTCCGGCAGACAGTGGAGAGTGAATCACAGCACAGGGCTCTCTGATGCTGCATCTGTTACTTTGCTCACAGCAAACAGCCAGAGGAGTGCAGCCTGCTGAGAGAGCAGGGTCTGGGAACCCAAGGAGACGGCCCGAGCATTCTCATTTTCCAAGTGCAAAAGCCAAGACCCGGAGAGCTGATGTGACTCGACCAAGGTCACTCAGTAAATCCAAATCCAGCCCAGGACTCAGTCTCCCGGCATGGGGCTCTTTCCAGAACCTGGACACTGCCGTCCTTGCACTAACCCAATTTTGTACCACCACCACCCCAGCTGGCAGGCAAAGCTGCTTTAGAGCCCAGGAAAGATGCTCACTTCTAACAAGGCTTTTGCCAGATGCTTTAAGGCACTGCCTGCTGCTGTGCCCCCCACCCTGCAACCGACACCCACTTCCTCCCCTGAAGATGAACTCACCCTCTTGTCTCCGGGAGGCTGTTTCCAGTTGTTTCTTAGTTGAGCAAGGGGAGCCCATGTCTCAGTGCCCAAGGAAGATGTGGGTCCGTGGTGCAGGTGAAGGGGAGGGAAAAAATCCCCCACGTAACAGCAGTTTCTGGCAGAGTTAGTTTCCAGTCTCCCCACTTGCCTCCTCCAGAAAGCAGAAGTTCATTCATTCCGCATCTCTATCTGGCCGCTGCAGAGGAGCCCTGGGGAGTGGGGTGGATTTTGAGGACCACCCCGCAGCCCCTGTGCTCCTGAGAGGTGAGGGTCTGGAGGTCCGTGCCACAGGGAGCTGGGCCAGCTGTCCTGCCTCAGCGGCAGACTTTGCGCTCCAAGTCCCACGGGGACAGCGGCCAGCGTGGTCCTGCAGGGGGGGATGGGAAGGGCTTAGGAATAATCTCTCCATCAGCCAGGCAGCAGGCGGGAGCAGCCGCTGCTCTGCCAACGCCGCCCGGGCAGGCGAGGAGAGCTGTCTTCCCTCTCTACCCAGAGGAGCGCAGCCCGGGAGGGGCAGGGGTGGCTGGGTCGACGGACATCTGCAGCTCCCTGTCCACTGGTGGCTCCTCGGTGCTGATGATGTTTGGGGCCTGGGCTAGGACTGCTGGAGGAAGTTCGGTGCCTGGCGCAGCTGGGGACCCCTCAGCCTCGGCGCCCAGGGGGACCTGGGGAGACTACACTGGAAAGGGGGGATGGGAGAAAGTGTGGACTGGGGACTCCCCCGAACCCAGTCCCTGCTCTGATACAGAAGGCTGGGCAACCTCGGGCAAAAAGTGAGTGCCTCCGAGCCTGCTTTTCAGTGTACAGGAAATAGAGGAACAAGAGGAGTTTCAGGAGCATCAGAACCAAACCACCAGAACCTGGTCCTAGGGTGGGGTTGGCCCTGGGGGAGGGGTGAAGAGGAGATGCACACAGCCCGGGCCAAGCCAGCTCTGCTCCGCACAGCCCTGCTGTGTGTCCTGGTGAGTCACTTCACCTCTCTGGTCAAATGAGGACAGCTGAATCTGTGAAAGCCACGTCTAATTCAGGCATCACTCTATGCAGTGGTTCTTCATTTTCTTAAGAGGTTCTGGCTTCTGAAGGGAGGTGAACGTCACAACTCAGTTTATAGTCAAGACCCTGGGAGGCTTTCTCAAGGTCATCTTGCTGGCTAGAACCTGAGGGGGACCAGAGTCCACACAGAACAGAGACTTGGGGTTCGCCCTGGAGCAAGGAACACCAGAGCCTGGGGCTTCCCAGCTCCCTGAAGCCGGGCAGTAGGGATGAAGGAATCCAGGCAGGTGGGCAGGGGGGCAGTGGGTAGCACTGTGTGGCTTTCAGCTGGTGTCACATGAACCGAGGGGTCCTGCAGAGAGTGTCCAAGGCCTGGCAGGGGCGGTGGTGGCTGAGAGGAGAAGAGGAGACCCTGAGCAGGTGGCCACACAGAGCCCACTAACTCCCTTCAGTGCTGGAGTTCAAATCCTGAATTCACCTCCTCCCCCGCTGTGTGCCCTGGGGCAAGCGTCTTGGCCTCTCTGGCTCCCTTCTCCCCTCTCTTGCGCTGATGTGAGCGCCGAATCAAGCAGTGTCTGCCCCAGTTCTGAGTGTCAGCCAAACAACCTTTCCCAAGTCACAGGGAAGCCTAAGGTGAAGACAGGAGGAAGTCTGCTGCCAAGGAAATTTCTTATTTATTTTTAAAGTTTTGTTTTCTGAGGCAAGGTCTCACTATGGAGTTCGGGTTGGCCTTGAACTCACTGTATATGTAGCCCAGGCTGACCTGGAACTCACGGTGCTCTTCCTGCCTCAGACCCTGAGGGCTGGGGTCATAGGTGTGCGCCACCACATCTGGCCAGAAAACTTTATAAAAAGGAAAGGCTGACCTACCGATCTAGTGCAAGCCCTTCGCTTGACCTAGAGAGGAGCCGAGACCCCAGGGGGAGGCCACGTGGCCTTCACGGAGGTCCGTGGCTGGCTGGGGGGGTGCGGTGAGGACTCACAGCCGAGCTGCTCCTACAGCACAGGTGTGGCACCCGGACTCCAGGGCCCCTCACGCCGAGCCTGTGTCCTGTGCGGCTGCCCCTCCCAGGCACTGCCAGTCCTCGCGCGGGCGTGGGTGCACAATTTCCACTCCCCGTGACCCACCCTTAGGCAGACACTTGAGCTCACCCCGGCCCCTTCTGCGGGATGCAAGATCAGGCCCCTCCTCGGTGTCTTCTGAAGGACAAGGGACGGGCCACGGTGGTGTGACTACTATCCTGTGGCACTGTTTCGACACAACTGCGCTGCCGTATGGTTCTGGACTTCAGAAGTTGGCAGTGGGTCCTCTGAGTTTAACACCAAGGTGTGGGCAGAGCTGCATTTCCCCCATCTTTTTCCGTGCATAAAGACCACTTGCACCCCTTTGCTTCTGGCCTTTTCCAAGCCAGCAATCTACCTACCTCTATCTCTGGCCTTACCTTTCTCCTCTAATTGTGATCCATCTTCCCCTCTTCCCCTTATAAGCGCTTTTGTGATTGCATCAGTTCATTGCATAAAGCAGAATTGTTTCAAATTTTAAGGCCTTTAAATAAATCACCTTTGCAAAGTCCCTTTTGCCGTGTGGGGTAACATTTACAGTCTGCACTGGGTATCTTTAGGAAGAGCATTATTCTGCCTATCACAGATTTTCATATCAAGTGTCCCGCCTCCTCCTGGCTTCAGCCAATCAGCTAGGGTCATTATATCCCTTGTCCAATCAAAAAGGAATGACATCTAATCCAAGCAGGATGGCTCCTACAGGTTGGGTGAACAAATCACATTTGCCTCTCTTTCCAGTGAGTTTGATCCAAAACGGGCCTTTGGCAGTGGGTAGCGGATGCTGGCCCTACAAGATCAGGTAGACGTGGGGTGGTCAGAGGAATCCACAAGGGGGAAAGGAAGGAGGAGCGTCCCGCTGGAAAAGCAGGAGCAGCAATGGGGATGGATTTCTTGCATGCAGCTCTCCAGACCCTGTTGGTGACAGTGGAGCCTCAACGATCTGGGGTTTTCAGTGCCAAGTCCCTGCTCCCTCACGACACCTCCTCCACTTTAGCAGAGCCTGCTTCAGATGGCTCCGTCCCTGGGCCCAAAGAGCTGAATGTGTGTGTTTGTGGGGGGGGGGGGGGAGACTGCAAGGCAGTGGGCTTGGGGAGGGACTGCCTGTGGCCTCTCCAGCCCTGCTGCTTAGACGTCACCATGGGGTCCCATTGTTCACGTTTACAGAGTGCTTCTGGGGGAATGTCTCCCTGCTGTGCCCTTGGTCAGCCTTCGTCTGCACATCCGCCATTGCCACTGTCTGAGGAGGAGGAAGCCAGTCCAGACGCTGGTGGAGGTGTTGTCCCCATCCTGTTCCAGTGTCACCAAGGCCTTGCTTGATTTATTCACTCGTTAATGGTACTGGGGATTAAACCCAGGGGCGCTTGCCACTGAGCTACACTCCAGGCCCTCTTCATTTCATACTTTTTCTTTTAAGACAGCGCCTAGGCTGACCTCAAACATGCAATCTTCCTGGATCAGCCTCCCGAGCGGCTGTGATGGCAGGAGTGTGACACTGCCCAGCAGGCCTGGCCGTGAGGGTCCCCAACCAGCCTCTGGGGACCTTGGTGCTGGGGATTCCCCGGTGCCCTGTCTACCTGGCTTACCTCTTGTGGCTGGGACCCCTCCTATTGTGAAAAACGCCTGCTGAGTCTGCTTTGCAGTGGCTGTGCCGTGTGCCCCTCTGGGCACCGGGGTGGTGACTGTCCTTGCCTCCCAGGGCCATTTCGAGGGGTGAATGAGCCCGTGCAGCGCTTGGCCTTGGCGGATGCTCACAGACGTTTGCACGCCCGTGCTCATCGCCTTCACTGTCCCTTGTTCTTACAGGAGCCCTGCGTTTCCAACAGCAAAAGCAGAGCCAGCAGCGGAGTGACCCCAGGCCACCAGGAGGGTGCAGTGTAACAGGAGTGAGCTACTTCTGGAGCGAAAAGTTCTGATCCACGATGGTTGCCAGTGCCAGGGGTGTAAATGCCCCTCCGTGGCCAGTTTCAGGGTAACAGCAGAATGCCACTGAATGCAGAATTGACAAGTGACAAGGACAGGCTCTTGTTCCTGTGCCGGTTGGCCGCAACACGTCACTGCACATGTAGCTTCCGGAGAGGTCACAGAGGGGGCCCGAGGTAGGGGGACCCTTGTTCCCAAAGTGGGACAGGTGCTGGCAGAGGGGCATATGGGCCGGAGCAGTGAACCCGGGAAAGCGAGGTGGATTCGGCCTCACCGGAGAATTGCTAGGGAGGAACAGGTGCTACGAGGAGGAGCAGAGGCAGGTGGGAGCCAGAAATGCTGGGCCTTCCACCCCTGGCTGGGGAGTGCGGGTTGGGACTGTGGCCACTGTGCACGCAGAGCTCCTGGTGAGCTCAAAGCCATGGTTTCCACCTTGGAACATTCCAGCATCACCTCAGAGGCTTTAAGAAATCTGCAGTGACTGGGCCACCTCCAGATCAACTCAGAATCTTGGGCTCGGGCTCTCACTTACAGGATTGCCGGGCCCCCCAGCTGGCCAGGTCTGGGAATGGTCGGCCACACCCACTCTGCAACGCCATCAGCTACCCCCTGCGTCGCCAGACAGTGGACACTGGTCACTGCTGTAGGGGCCATCACTGATCCACTGAGGAAATGCAGAGCCCTCAGACCCACAACCATGGGCTGGGAAGGTGTTCTCCAGAAATACTTATGAATGTGTGCAAAAATGTGCACAGAGATGATCAGGACGGTGTTGGCGGCGGTGATAGTGGGCTAGGAGTGACTGAACAATCCCTCCTGAAGGGGCTAGCAAAGTGAAGACGGTCATAAAAACAGGAGAAAGCTGTAGCTACTAGAAGGGACCAGGGAAGCCTGTTATGCTGCTGTAGAAGAACCAGGTAGCGCACAGTGTGGAAGAGATTGTGCCGTAAGCCCTAGGCTGTGTCCACACAGGCAGGAAGGGTGAGGGTGATTTCATTTTCTCTATGTTACGACATTGGTATCACTAGAAGTCAACCTGGAAGAAAGAGGGTGTTCATCAAGCCAGACTGGAGGGGACGTAAGTGTGAGTAACGCTGGTCTCGCAGGCAGCGGACCAGAGGAACCGAGCAACATGTGCAGGACAGATGGCAGCCTCTGATTTGCCTTCAGTGACTTTAGCCTCAGTCACCCGACATCAGGGAAATGTGACTCCTGGTCAAGGCCACAGACCCCACTGGAGATATGAACACAGTCTTCAGGCCACTGGGGTCAGGCAGACAGACCCATTGGGGAAACTGAGGTAGCTCAGTGTCATTATGGACACAAAGGAAAAGTGCACACCAATCATTTACCGCTAGAGTCCCAACAGCAAGGTGCCTCCAGGTGATACAGGGCTGGGAAGGCGCTTGGAAAAATGGGGAGCCCGTGCCCCACTCACAAGGGTGGAGGTGTCAGCGTCACAGTAGCTTGGCGCTTGGAAGAAGGGTGACGTCCTGAGTTCTAGGCCGATCTCTCAGATTTTAACAGCTGCCCACTCGCTGGGGATTTGTGCCGCGATTGGAGCTGCGCATGTGCGTCTGTTACTCCGGAGATCCGCCCCCGGGGCTGTGTTGCGAGGGAGGAGCTGCGCGTTTGCATCTGGTACCCCGGAGATCCGCTCCCGGGGTAGTGCCATGAGGGAGGGTGTGCATGCTCACCAACGGGCCAGGGTGACATGCTTTGTCACAGCATGGAGACACGAAGCCACAAGTTGAAATATCTACGGACATCCTGGCGCATCAACAGGTGAAATCCCAGCTGGCGCAGAGAAGGCGGCACCCCAGCCAGGTGCCACAGCATGGCGTCGGAGTGCAGACAGAGTGACTGCGGGCATGGAAAATTCGACACTGCTACCACTCTCCCCCATTAAGTCATGGGAAGGATGGCCTTGTGTTGGACGGCTCAGGAGAGAGTTCCAGGCTGCTTACTCGAAGTTCGAGTTGGACAAGTGATGTGTGCATATTAGCGTGGGTGTTGTGTTCACGGTACAGGTTTTTTTCTTGAGCAACCACCATGGGGAGCAGAGGACTGCCCACTTCCGAGTAGTCAACTTTCCAGGGATGTTTTGTTGTTGTTGTTTGGGACTGAGGATTGAACCTGGGGCCTTCACACTAAGCTGTGTCCCCAGCCCTTTTTTATATTTAATTTTTAAAGATAGTCTTTATAAGTCACAATGGCTGGACTCAGACTTGAGATCCTTCTGCCTCAGCCTCCCGGAGTGCTGGGATTGCAGGCACGCACCACTCACGTCTGGTCCAACCTATTTTTTGTCAGTCACCACTGAAGCCCACAATGTGGCCAGCTCTCTACCCCCATCTTTACCTATGACCGTGCCCTCCACTTGTGACTTCTGAGAAAAGTGAGCGGTGCAAGACCGGCCCTACCTTCCACATCCTTTTTCAAGGAAGGGAAAGGGCACAATTGGGCCCCTCATCATCACTCAAACTGTTTGAAAGTCTGGCTCCAGATGCAATCATTCCCCACACAAGACGCCAGCTCCTTCAGAAAGCCAACCTGTCTTTGGTCAGTGTGCAGAGGCCATGGCTTGGCAAATCGCCGCTGCACGAGGGGGCCCTACCATGGAATCAGCTCCAAAGGCCAGCAGCAGAGGCTCCTGGCAGAAGAGCACAGTGGCAGAGTGCTTTGACTGTCCCCAATCAGTGCCCTCACTCCTGTCCCTAGCATTTTGTCATGTGTGTGTGTGTGTGCATGTTCACTAATCAAAACTGTGGTATGCTTGAATAGAAAAACATTATTACAGTAAAAGATACCTTGCCATCGATCCCCCTTAAAATCCCCCCGCCCCGTCACCTCAAACCCACTGATCCCACCACCTGGGTGCCTTCTGAGCTTCTCCTGAAGTCCTTTTTTGTGAGTGTCTTCAAAAGCTATGACCAAAACTATGGTGAATGCCACTGCTGAGTGCCGTCCGATGGAAAGCCAGGCTTGTACAGACATCCGGGGAGTCCTCCTCCACCTTACTCAGGATCTGGTCCTCTTCCAGCTCTTTCCCGAAGTCACAATGGCCATGAAAGGGAAATGTTTCAAGTGGATTCAGGACATGAAGGCGGCTCCTGCAGCTCAACTAAAGACACGAAAGAGGACTTTACTTCCAGAACTGCTTCAGGAAGGGGCGAGGATGTTGGGACGAGGGTGTTGGAGGTGAGGGGAGGATTTTGAAAGGGCTCGATAGCAAAGTGTCTTTCACCACAGTACTTTTTTTGAACAAAAATCTTAATATTCACTGTAATTTCTGACCACGCTCTGTATTCCTCCCTTCCTGGCACTGAAAAGTAGATCACAGACAGTGTGACATTTGGCCCTGCCATTCTTTCCTCCCTAGGAACAGTCAGGAAAATAAGGGTAACTTTCCACATAGCTGCAAAACTGTGATTGCATCTACTGCAATGAACAATAATCCTGAATACTAATACTCTGTACCCAAGTTTCCTCTCTGCAAATGTCCCATATAGCTGTGTTTATCTGGGATCCTATTAAAGATCACCACTGGTGACGTGCCTTCATCTTGTAATCTCCAATGTCCTGCAGTCTGTCCCAGCCTGTCCTTTTCCTCCTGTGACTCTGACCTTTTCAGAGTAATCAGGCCTGCTCTGCTGCACCTGGTTCCTCCTTCCCAATTTATCTGTGTGATCCCCAGGGTCCCTATGTTTCAAGAAACTAGGTTGAAAGTCTCCACTACCTCTCAGGTGAGGACACAGGGCACTCGGGACGATGGCTGTGCCCTGTGGTGACTCTGGTGCATGCCATCAGTCATGTGGCCATAGCACATGTCCCTCTTCCAAGGGCACACTGTCCCTTCTCTGCTGGCGAGGTTTTGGGTGATGTTTAAACCTTACTCTTTTGTTTCTTTTGTCCTGGGGTGAACTTACAGGAATGCAAGGTCTTATGCAGGTGAGTAGGAAGTTTCACGGCTCCCTCTCCAGGGAGCCCCCAGCACATCCCCCTGGGTTGTCCTTCGTTCCGGCTCAGAGGGGGCCTGGCTGGGGTGCTACAGAGCAGTGCCATTCAGCTGGGGATTTAGCTCAGTGGTTCCGGCTCCTGCTTCCCAAGTGCAAGGGCCCAAGTTCAATCCCCGATATAAAAAAAAAAAAAAGCAGTGCCACTGAGTGCTGAGCTTTTCCGCTGCCCGGTGCTCTGAGCTCAGCAGCCCGTGTATGCTTCCCACAGCTCTGCAGCGGGTGCGGGTCCGGGTATTCTCCCAGACAGAGGCAGATGCGACACGGAGGGGAGGCTCGGTGAAGTCGGGTGTACAAGGCGAATCTTGTCTTGGCAGTGAGGTCAGCACAGGAGGACAGGCAGAGCTTAGATTTGAAAGGGAAATGGGGTCAGGATGAATGTGGCCTTCAGTCCTCAGTTGGGCCCCTGGGTGTTATTCCAAAAACACTGCAGAATCATGGAAAGACCTCGGGCAGCACACGACCAGGGCTGTGACATAGCTCAGAGAGGACACGTCTAGGATTGAATGCAAAGACAGAGACAAGACAGCCACACTGGTAGGGACCACAAGGACATGGGAGAAGATGGGACGAGCATGCATGCTCCCGAGGAGCTCGGGCAGTGTGGCAAGGTGCGGGGACTGGGTGCAAGCAGCGTGAGGAGGCCACTGCAACCCCAAGATTTCCAGCCCCTCGTGCCGGCGGGAGTCCAAAGCACACGTGTGAGTGTGTTCAGCACCTCCATCTAGGGGGCAGACGTCTCCTGCAGAGGGGTGCAGCTGACGAGGGAGGGGCGTAGAAGTGGGGAGCACTGGGGAGGACGGGGAGGCAGGGTGAGCGATTAGGGTGAATCGCCACACACGGCGGAGCACGCTGCTGGGGACCTATTCTGGGCACTTGGAAGGTCAGCGATCACCTCTCAGGGCCGCTTCCATGGTGACAGAGGGCAGAGCCACAGGCCGCAGGGTGAAGGGCTGGGGAGGCAGGGAGCTGGACTGGGGACCTGGCGCCTAGAAGTCTGAGAGTGAAGGAAAGGAAGTGGGTGTGAGCTCAGGCGACCCATGCATGGGAATCATCTGGGGTCCAGAGGCCTCAGCGGGTGAGGGTTTTGCTCTCAGTGGGTTCCGCACGCAGAGCCACAACTCAGAAGTTCAAGGCTGCAAACAGCCTTGAGAACCACCCGATAACATTCTGGGAACAGTGTGTTTTGAGAGACTATATGAATAACTAGAACCAGGTGTTCACAAAAAATATTTTCTAATGCTTTGCTAGAGATAATCTGTAAGGAACTAACTTTATTCTCGTGGAAGTACTGTGCAGGTATCTTATAAAACCGAGGTGGTGAGAGTTGGCTGCTGTTTGCCCGCGAGAGCTTCAGCCCTCTACTCCTCGGCAAAACTACATTCCTGCTGTCTGGCATCCTCCGTGTCCCTGATGACAACACGGAGGCCCCAGGGACCCTGAGAGACGGGGTCTCCCACAGAGCCAGTCCCGGGGATTTCACAGTGGGTCCTGGGCTGTGGAGCACGAGGGTTCTGTGCTCTGAGAGCAGCTTGCGGGCCATGTCCAGTCCTCTGAGGCCTCCAGGAAGACCCCACTGGGGTTGGGCTCTGAGAAGAGCAGGTGGGGTATAGGCACATCCGGCCAGCTGTCGGCATCTCCTGTGCAGGGTGAAGGGGGCACTTAGCAGGCTCCTCCCCAGCCCCCATCCTTCTTTCTTCTTCCCAGTCTGGGTCTCCCCTCCAGGGAAACCTCATCCTTGCAAGGCCATTTCAGTGGCCACAGTCCCAGGAGCTGGCCCTGAAGATGAGCCCCCCCCACCCCGCCGGGCGCTCAGGTAAAGGAGGCTTTCCTGTCCCATGGCCGAATGAGACAGGCCACTACCTTCCCAGGGGCCACTCATTGTTACTGTGAGGTGCACAGTGCTCTCCCTCTCCATGGGCCATGGGGTGAAGGCTGGGGCAGCTGCAGTCCCTCTGCTCCCCAAAGCCAGGTCCCCATATGCCTGTGTGGGGAGCAAGGGCTGGCAGGCTCTGAGCCTCAGCTGGTCCTGGAGAAGAAGGTTACTAACCAGTGTCAGGCTCTGAATAGAGGACAAGATGAAGCTGCATGGGTGCCCAGGCCGTGGCTGTGGGACGTATCAGTCCCCAGGAGTGGAGTCTGCTCAGGGCTGGAGGTGGCCGGTGAGATTCCACTGGCAGGAGTGAGAACTGTTGGCTTGGGGGCACAGCTACAGCGAACAAAGGTCCGGGGCTAGTCTTGCTGGGGAGCCTCTTCTCTGTCCTCCTGGATTCTTATGTTTTCTCACAGGGAGAAGGCACCTTGCTCTGTGCAGAGCGGGAGTATGTTTACTATATTGCCTCGGAGACCCGTTGCCTCGGAGAAGCTCACCTAATTCTCCACGGGCACTGAGTCTGCAGCAGCCGCGGTGCCTGCCCAG